AACTACCAGAATCAAAGTGTCAGAGTTCGGCTACAACTAGAAAACTTTCAGCAGCTCTGAAAAAGCAAACACTTCAGTGACAGCAGGGACGCGGATACATTTTCATGTTTTATTACTTTGTGAAGCATAAAGGGCCAGAAACACCGCTGACCCACGACACAGTGGAAAGCTTCATTTAAAGTGAGGTACAAATAATACACGGTGTTACATAATGGACCCTTTGGTTAAAGTGGAGGCCAATGAGTGCTGGGCTCAAGGTTAGCAATACTGAAACAGAGAGAGGGGGGCACAAAAAACTAAGAAAGCTCATAAATACAAAGTTGGTCTTCGGAGGAGGAAGTGATATTTCTCTGTCTGCTGGGTGAGATGTAAAGGGCAATGTGGGCGTGACCTTTAAACAGTCACATGGGCTTTTGGCTGAAAGCCATCAGGCCTCTTTTGTTTTCAGCCTTAACTGGAGGAGGTGTGCCCGAAAGCGTTGGCCCCGTGGCCTGACGAGCTCCTGTTCTCTACAAGGGTACGTGGCTGAAGAGGTAGGACACCGACTCGCCGTTGTGGGTTCTCCTGATGGCCTCCGCCAGGATCATGGAGATGTCGATGACCTGCAGGAAATAACGAGTTTGTAACGTGAGATAGAAAGTAGCACAAATCCCATCTGCTGCAAGCCTCCTCCAGCCTTGCTCTTCTTCTTCTCTTTGTTGCGCGGCAGCCGTGGCTGGCCACCCTGTTTCTACAACTGCTTGTGTATAAAACCCTTTTGTTTAACACATTTTAACAATGCTCTGGCCAGTGTTCGTCTAGTGAGCACAGGCTGACAGATCACCGTTTACCCCAACATGCTGGGTGTGAAGCACTCACAACAATTTACTCTGGAGGAGGCTGTAAAGTTTCCTGAAAGGAGCCTGATACGAGTCGATGAGTCACCGATGACAGCGATGCTGAGGGGAGTTGTTGAGCATTTGCAGACCTTTGCAGTCGGTAAGCGTTGCTGTTTTTGCCGCTGTTAGGGAAACTTTCTTTGAAGTGGCTGTAACGTCGTCAGACTCGGACGCTTGGTGAACGATCTCTCACACGTGAGAGTAGTTCAGCTGTTCAGAGGGAAAGTGTGACGTTCAGGAAATCCGAGCCTAATGTTAGCCAACATTATGCTAGCTTATAACCAGCTGTTTGTTGTTGGTGGTTAGCCAGCTCTTGTCAGCCATCTAGAGACAGAAGAGTCGCATGTCTGATGTGCAGACAAGTAATTTTCAACAACATTGGTAATAAACGAGCACGTTTCCATGTGTCAGAGCCCTGAGTTCAGCTCAGAGGAGGCTTGGAGAGAGCAGTGGAGGAGAAAGACAGTAAGAAAGAGATGATGCAAATATGTAGAATGGTCATAAGAAAGAAAGAAAGAAAAATTAAAACTAACTTAACATCCATTTTTGTAAAGCTACATTTTGGTGTTTGAATTCTCAGGAATCTGGAAGTTTCTAACAGAATTAAAGAAAACCGACTTACAACAGCAACATTTCCCTGAAGGAGAGAAACTGCAGACAAAAGCTCAACCTGATGCCAAGTGTTTGCCTCAGCAGCTGTCAGCTAAGAACCAGGCCTGTAAAGCTGAACAGGTCATACCACTGGATGTCACTGTTGTATTATGATCTTACAGTGTGGTTCTACTCAAAAGCTGAGCATTTGTAACCACAGAACTACATGAGGGAGTTTTACACCTAATTAGCCAAAGTTGGTTCCTGGAAATCCAAACAGGATCCACACTATCCACCGCTGCAGGTCTGGACACCTTTATCACTGCCAAAGTGGTAAACTGGTAGAATAAGCTGCTGCACTGCTGTAGCCAGTGACGATCCCAACCAACCGAACATCAGTCGTTTGAGTTCTGTGCACCATCTCATCTAAAGACGGCAGCTGTTGTGTATACCTGTATTTTCGGGCAGGCCTTCATCTTCTCCTCCTGCGGGATGGTGTTGGTCACCACCACAGCCTCGAACGGGGCGCTGTTGATGCGAGATATGGCCGGCCCTGAGAATATGCCGTGCGTGAGGATGGCGTAGACCTTCACAGCTCCAGCATCGATTAGCCTAAAAGTGGAACAATTACCAAAAAAAGTCACTACATTTTTACATAAAACGAGCGAAAGACAAAACCATCTAAGTGACACCGACTTGTCGGCAGCGTGGCAGATGGTCCCGCAGGTGTCGGCCATGTCGTCCACCAGGATGGCCACGCGGTCCTTGACGTCACCGACCAGCACCATGCGGTCCACCTCGTTGGCCTTCTTCCTCTCTTTGTGGATGAGAGCGAAGTCCACATTCAGACGGTCCGCGATGGACGTCACGCTGAGCGGGGGACAGGAAAGAGGAGGGACATGCACAGACTCAACCCTTAATTGCTTCTCAAACAAGTCGACTACAAAGCTGTGACTGAAATCCCCGCAGTGCGCCCTCGTTTCTCTACAGGATGACATCAAATAACTTCCAAAATGGCAAGCAGTTGGCAAACTAAGCAGATGATAATCACCGAGGTTCTGCTGATCTCTCCTAATGTCACTGTGAAAAGACTCCGAGCTAAAGCTTGAATCAGCACATCAGCCATCTGCAGCACCAGCAGACCCTGAAGTACGTTCACTACACTAAACATGGAAGTATATTTTCTACACTCCATACAAACGAATGGCCAAACAGATGGGGGGCGGGGGTCAGTGCAGTCTGTGTGTTCCTGATATGACCAGGTGCACGGACACTTTCAGGACCTTTGATGTGGTCGGAGTCACATCGCTCAGAGTTTTGTCTTAGCCACCGCAGCACGATGCTACCTCCATCATGCTTTACCAGTCATGCACCAATCAGATGACACTGGGCAGGTGATAAAATATAATGTGACACATAAGAGCCTTTTGTCTGTTGTTTATTGCCTCTTTTCCACCAGCATAGACCCAACCGACTCTTTCAGTTGTTTTCCATTAGTACCACTTCAATGTGGGTGGAGTTGTTATAGCAACGTGGCCGGGATGTCCTGTGATGTCATGTTATGTGACACAAACACAACAATGGGGCACATCGAGGTGATGGTACACCTGCTGCTAAACAGATGCTAAACATCTGCACCTTGTCGTTGGTTAGTGTGGAATAATTTTCCTCGTCCAATCGGTGGCCTGCAGTCTGCTGACGTCACGTCTTAAATGCTACCACCTAATCATGGGAAACCCTAAAAACAGAGATGAGCCAAGTCAAGCAGCTGCTGGTGGAAAAGAAGCTTTTTACTAAGGAGGAGCTCCAGTCCAGCTTTTATGGCCTTTACTCCCCTTCAGGAACCTTCCACGAGGCATCATTCTTTTGCAGTGATCCCATAACGTGTGCTCAACACACTCCTGCCTGAGCTCTGTGGGTCATTCCTTCAAGCTCATGATGTGGTTTTTGCTCAGTCGCCATCAGCACTGAGGCTTTACAGACACGTCGTTGCTGAGGGCGAGCAACACAGCCCCAAAATGACATCACAACACTCCCACAGAAAAAAGAAATGCTGAACTGTGTTGTATCGGCCACTGCAGCTCGCAGACGGCAGCATTTATTAGAGCAAACACGACTTTTCCAATGAGCCGCTGCCACTGACGACACGCTGTTTAATTCAAAGAGTAAATCTACTGCTGCGAGGTGCCAGCAGCTGCAGCACAGTAACACAACTGCAGTGACAGAGCATAAAATGAGCCTGCACGAGACAGTCTCACTCTAGAATTGAAACTGAAAACATTTTTATACCTGGGATCTTCGTGTTGGGTCGAGCGCTTTAAGGAGTTGCTTAAAGCCCTCCTTTACATCACATCAGTAACTTTCATCCACAGCTCGAGGGAAAGGACACGCAACGCATTGCTATATCGCTGATAACGCAATATAATGATACAATTGCGTACAGTCAGATATGGCACAGCCTTGCACGTCACGCTCTTGCGCACCCAAAGCTGGACTCCAGTCATGATCCAGAAACCTCTCAAAGACGCTTAGGAGACACAGGCATGATGGGACATGAAGTTTGAATTTGAAGACGGCACAAATAAATGAAAACAGTGGTCACAGTTCACGGCATACAGGCCGTCTGCAGCTTATTAGCATTTCACATCATGCAGAGATACGTGGTGCTCCTTAACCCCGCTATCTCGTGTCGCTGCGGCTTACCGTTTGGCTCCTCCTGCATCTGGAGACACGATGATACAGTTCTTCCACTCAGGAATGTGTTCTTTGATCCACTGCAGGACGGCGGGCTCGGCGTACAGGTTGTCCACAGCAATGTCGAAGAAGCCCTTAAAAACCGGACCAGAGTAAAACGACAATTAGCTCTTTATGCATGCAAACACAACACGTGTAGCACAAATAGAACTGGATCAAAGCATACATTCACCTTCAAATCACTCTAAGAAACTGTTGCTGTGAACCTGGCAGCTTCATATGAAGCTAGCAGCAGTATTAGGTCCATCTACAAGCACCTGTGCAGCGTGTGTGAGACTTATTTGACTTTATGTGGCGATTTCTCAGTCTGTACGTCAAGTTTGGCAGCAAGAGGTGGAAACACTGGTGCACCAACCTGGATCTGTGACGCGTGGAGGTCCATGGTGATGATGTGGTCCGCACCAGCCACCGACAACATGTTAGCCACCAGTTTGGCTGATATGGGTGCTCGGCTCTGAGGAAGCATTGAGACAGTCGTTGGAGGCAAGTATGCACGGGTAAATACGCCGAAAGCACTTTTCCCTCCTTTATGGTGACCAGACTGTTTGTATAATCCTTTTATGTTGACTCGCAGCACCTTTGAACATTTGTGCTGATGTTAATCAGCCAGCTTTCATTTTCACACATTTTATTTACAAAAATGAAACTAAAGCTATAAAAGCTCCAGCGACCTAAAGAAAACCCCTCCCTTGTTTTGCTACAAAGTTCAAAGTTTGTGTGTTGTGATTGTGAGCTGCTGAAGGCACACGTAGACGGCTCTGTCCTTGTCAGAGTCCTTGCTTTGGGGGTCACCCCAGCAATGTAGGTCTGGCTGCCGCTCGGGGCCTGTGCCGTTTAGCTGCTGCGTCTACTCGAGAGACG